TATGGCGGGGGGGGGGGGGGGGGGGGGGGGGGTTCGGCTGGCTGCGCATCGTCGAGAAGCATGTCAACCTCTGTCTTCCACTTCGTGTCGAGGAAGGGGCTCCCTCATAAGCATTCGGCCTGTTGAGAAATTCACACTTGAGTGCATGGCCTCTTCGCCCTATCACCTTCCCTCCTGTCCATTGTCGTAGCTCGTGCGTCTCAAGGGATTCTAATGCGATCGCTTCTTTCATTTTTCGAGTCAAGTTTCTACTGTTTGTATTTGGTTTCGTGTATTGGTGGTGCAACACGTATCGCCGGGACATGCATCCTTTTCCCAACCGTACCGCCGTAATTGGGGGATTTCAGAGATGACACAATCAAGGAAAGTATATGAATCAAAACTCTTTGCCTTTCTTTTGACGAGGGAAATTCCATTGTCTTCGGATTGAATTCATGTGAAACGTTTTAAAAGCACCACATGGATCACCTCATTCACCTTTGCGATGCTTGCGTCCGGATCCGGGTTTATCCCCAATATAAAGGCGTCACAAAAAATTAGTTTGCAATATTCATATACGTATCCTGTCTCCCCACCAACGGCAACGTTCCTGTGATGGACAGGAAGTTATTTCCCCACATTCCGCACATAAATTATATTATGTTTCTTTAACACTTCAATGGAAGAGAACCTAATTACAGCACATGCGATGTTCCGCAAGCAGTGGTGTAAATTGCATTATCATACTTCCCCATTGTGCTGACATTCAAGGTGGTTCACGAAGTGATTTCACATTTAAAATATAAATTTTCTTGCCTGAAAGTAATGGAAAATATATATTGGAAATTTCCAAACTTTCCATTGATATTTAAATTTACAATTCGTACCTCCAGGATTTGAGTAGCACATTAACATTTTTCCTGCATATGCATATCCCGCACTATATAGAACTAGTATTACATTAGGAAAGGTTTTTAAATTAAAGGCAAGTACTGCTGGCCGGCGTTCGGGGAAACTACTTTCATGGCGTTCTTGGAAATTAAGCTCCGTCTCTTTCAAGAGAAATAGACGAGAATAGAGTGCTCCCTATTGTGGTCCTCCGGAGGAATCCATTCGTATGATGACAGTACTTAAGAGTACTGTCATCAATATAATATACTTGTACTCTCGTTATCTAATCGATATTAGCTCTCGTTCAGACTCAAAGTAGAGGGCATGCCCAATTGTTGAAAATTCAACGCTTGCATAGCTCATTTAAAACGGTAAATTATTTCAGCATTACTTTGACGTCTGTGCCGAAAGGATATTGTGCATATCACAATTTGCAAAGGGTGCTGTACTGAATGCTATTTGCAAAGGATACTGTAGTGGTTCCCAAAGTTGCTTGGCAGCAAACTTAATTATAATCTTAACTTGAATAGGTCTGGTCACAAATTTGGTGATTAGACCAACCTAGCAATGCCGCAGAATAGTTGGCGTTCAGGAATCCATTCTGCTATATTATTGTCCTGGGCTTTTTGCATTACACATTTGAAAATTAATATCCTCTCGAACTTATCCAGAGAGACGTCAATATTATGCTGTTAATGATAGAGTTGGATTGTCATCCGAGGGAATGATGAAAGAGCAATATGCAGAGTTATTTGTCGGATAGTGGAAACCTGTAGAAAAACCAGGAAGCACTTTTGTCGCTGTGGCAAAAAAATGATAAGCGACAGTAAGAGGTGTATCGTCAAAATGGTAGACGAAGTTGACTAAATAGTCCATATAATGGTCGAAAGAACTGTTCTAGATGGATGCTGGCTGAAACCGACGTCACTTAGAGAAGTTATAATGCAAAATACTTTGTGAGGTTGAACGAGTTGGAATAATGCGGATCAAGACAATAGAAACAACTAATTAAACTCTTGCATAAATTTATTTTAAAACAATTCCCTATTAAATAACATTCTCCCCATAAAATGCTCCAATAAAATACTCCCCAATAAAATATTAATAAAAAAGACAAAGGGTCACTGGGAGCGAGAAACCCCAAGCTAAGACTTCTGGCATTCGAAGATGCTTTCCTCAGCAACGACTCCAGAGCTCAACGAGGCCATGAAGACCTCCGGTTGCTTGGAGCAAGTCCTGGGATCCAGGACGAGCTCGGTGTAGACCTTCCCAACGGAATAGGTGTGAGCCTCGCAGTCCTCCACCCCCGGTGCGAAGAGGCTGAGGGTGCCATTGAAGGGCTTGGTCGAGGAAAGCTTCAGGACGATCCTATCGCTCTCACAGACGGCATTGAGCTGGGAAGAGCCAAGCTGGAGAAGGACGCTCCCGGTGGAACGCACAGCCTTGCTCTTCTTCCCTGAGAGAGAAACGGGTTAGTCGGCATTGATTTTGCAAGAAGGTAACTTACAATGAAAAATTCATACCCACGACACGCAGTTCCTGGGTGGCGGGATTCTCCATCTGGATTACGTGTTCGATGATAACAGTCTCAAGGATTTCGCCTGTATGCCTCTTCCGTCGATCATCGTCATCCTCCACAGGACGATTGTAGGCAGTGGGCTTTCCTGCAGAAACAATAGGGGTGAAGGTGTTGCTTGGTGGTGGGCGAATGAGCTTGGTTACATCATAGCTAGACTGACCACCATAAGCAGGGGCACCATAAGCAGGGGCAGACCCATAGCCAGATGGAGCAGGGTAAGCAGGCGTATCGTATGATTCTGGTTTTCCATAGGATGAGTCGTAGGACTCAGGCTTAGCATAGGAGTCGTAAGATGGTGCCTTGTAGGCTTCTGGTGCCGGGTATGAAGGAAGCTGGTATTCCTCTGGCTTGTAGTTGGGGCAGGTCTCGTACACGGCACACTTCCCATAGCAGATCTGAACCTCGCAGCGGATGATGACGCAGTCTGACCTGGGAAAGCGGAAAGCCTGGAAGGGGATCTTGGTCGTGACCGCCTTCGATCCTTCGTAGCCACCGTCTTTGTTCTTCACGGAATTCTCGAAGATCTTGGGTTGAGTGGAACAACCGTTGCTGATGACCTGGATATCAGGTGAGGTAGCGCCGTAGTTGGGATTCTGGACGAATTGCTTGCTCGGCTTCCCTTCCACTGCCCAGCAGGATACGATGTTCATGTCGATTTCCATGTACGGTTCGGTTAGCTTGAAGAGCAGAGTGAGTGGAGTTCCAAGAAGGACGGGTCCAGTCAGAGGACGCAGGTAACTTCCGTGTCCTTGCAGGATCTCGTACGTCAGCTTGGCTGCACCCAGCAGTTTCCCCTGGAAGGGTAGAATAAAAAAATAAAAGGATCAATTCCTACCATGTAACATTCAGTGGATCAGGAGGAAAAGGTGTACTCACGGATAGCATGACAGCCTGTTTGTCGATCGTGAAGAATTCGAATGATGCTTTCTTTTGGTAACCTTGGGGCTTGTCGCATTTAGCGATCACGTGCATGTCCCATGGCCCCACGAAGTTCTTATCGAACTGGACCATGATGTGATGTCTCAAATATTCCGAGCTATATGCAGCCACAGCTGGGGGTTTGTATCCCTTGCCTGCGCAGAGGTTCTTGGGCAGAGTGATCTCGCAAACCGTCTCTCCTTGTCCTCGGAACACGACGCAGTCGTATTGGCCGTAAGGATAGACGATGCCGTAGAAGGGACCAGAGAATTTGAAGGTGATCACCATGTAGTCGCCGTGGCACACCACCTTGCAGTCCAGCACCTTGATGGGAGCAGGGTATGTGATGGTTTTCGGTGGAGGCGGCTTGTATTCGGGCTGGGGAGGAGGTTCGTATGCAGCGGGTGGCTCGTATTCCGCAACGGGTTCAGCATACGATTCCGGTTTAGCATAGGAAGACTCCCCGTAGGAATTCCCTCCATACGATTCAGCCTTGTAGGATGATCCTCCATATGATGGAGCCTGGTAACCATCATCGTCATCATAGCCGGATAGGATACTTCTGCCTGATGCTGCGCCAGTCGAGTTCGAAGCCGCTTGAGGTGCTTTCGTTGTGGTCTGAGTGAGACCAGACTCGATCACCTAAACAAAATTAATTCATACCATTTCAAATTTTATAAACCAAAAGAGAGTAAAAATTGGGAAATAACTTACTAGAGGGACGACAAGAATGCGGAAAACCAACGACGGCCACATGTTGAATCCGAAAACGATAGGACGTAGTTGGATAGGAAGACGAGACCGAACTGTTCGATGCTGTCAAGGGCCGACCTTTTATAGGTCGAGGAGAGGCATGTTTCAGAGTCGATTCACACCAGGAAAAGTCGAGTGCGCATTCGTGGATTTTTTTTTCTCCCCAAAAAATCCTTTCGTTTCGCCCCCTAAATGACCCCTGTTCGTCGGCATTGCTCTATCGGCGTGTGCATGCCATATCCTCGGGGCATTTTTTCTTCATGCTTACGTTCTGGAGGCGAATGGGCTTTGTCCGGGTGCCGTAAATCACACGAGAACCGAAACCGTAAATGAAATTGTAGCGTGAAATGCATTATATATATTATTATTATTATTATTATTTATAATTATCAATTCCTACTGTGGGAGAGATTAACGAAAGAGGAAAATAAAGTAATTAATCTCTTTTGAAATTCGCTAAGATCGAACCATATTGATAACACCTAAAGATCCACTCGTTGCCAAGTCATCTGAAGGGAATTTGATTGTGTCCTTAGTATAATTGGACATTGATGATTATTTGATTATTGGCTGCATCGAATTTCATTTAATATGTATATATTTCTGTAGCAATCAATTATCCAGTCATGAGATTGAAGTGTTACTTGATTATTAGACGACGAATTCAAATAATTTAAAATCTGTCCAAATATGACCTTAAAATATGACCGAAAATGTTAGAATTGTCAAATATGATTGCAACAATATGGTTTCTCATGTCCAAGGACTTCCAGGCCGCAGGGGGGGGAAGAGTGAAGGTGATCAAGGATTACATGCTAGAGAAACGTAGATATTTTTAAAACATTTTTTTTTACGGAAAACATGGTCAAATAAAAATGGCCAAAATATAATCGTATCCTTGTGAGCAAAATGTTATATTACGCATGAAATATGATCCAGTATAGCCTATTCCAGCATATGTACGAGTAAATGCATATGCAATGAAGCATAAAATTTAACCTTCTTCGATATCCGCTTTTAATTTATTATATTACATGAAAGGAAGGAGACTTGATAAACTTAACAAATTAATGAACAACAACTTGAGAAGCTTAACTTCATATTTTATACTTTAAATTCCTGTTCGAGCTGCTCTGATGGAGATGGATTTCCGGAAGATGATTCTTTGATTCCTGCTTCCGGATTGCACAAAACTTTGAAAGTGTTCCTAATTTTGCAGGCATTGAGGAGTCCGTTCCCCTCGTTCAGAAGTCGCAGATATGGAGAGGAGCTTGCATCTTTTTTCAAGAATTCGCGCGAAAACGTATTCATCGACGTCATCATCTTCCTTGCAGAGCTGATACGAATATTTCGCATGGCAGACTCACGAATCCATTAAATTTCACCATTTTTTATACTTCCGTCAGCATGTATTCCGGCGGATGCAGTGGGTTAAAAGACGCCCAGTGAAGCTCCGTTCCTATGCCCCGATCGAATGCAAGGAGACGCGACGGAGGGGAATTCGTCCACAGGGTTCAACTTATCGTCTCCCCCGGCCCCGATGTGGCATTCTCCCCCGTGCCCCGAGGACGTGGCGCCTTCTCTAAATTCGCCTGGAAAAGGAGGTCTCATTTCCCATTCCCTCCAGAGTGAAGGCGGTCGTGCACAGGAAAACACGCCGCTGCGCCATCGCTCCGTGCATGGAGTTCCGGCTGCATCCGTACGATCTGCAATCGCATCGCGATGTTTATGAGTGAGTCGGGATGATGCGTCATGATGATGCTTCTCGTCGTTGCAGGGTTGAACACCCAAGCAACGAAAGCGAATGAATTGCAGCGGGCCGGCCACTTTCGCCGCGCGATGAGCCAGTCGGACGGGGTGGCGGATCATCTGTGTCTCCTTCGTGCATTTGGGCAACGATTCCTGGCATTCCGTTTTCATTTTATGCCCGCTTCCCCTAGATGCTAATGATTATCGTGAGGACTCTGGATCATGGAAAAAAAAATGTTGAGAAAATGTCGCGACAGCCTGTCTCCTTTCCCTCGACTCTTTCCGCTCGACCGGAAATTTCCTGATCCTTTCGATATTTCACGAATCGGACTCACCCATTGCCTGCTGGCCTAGAAAACTTGTGATCAAGCATTTTGAAATTTTAAATGTCAAATTATATCACGGAACTAAGAGCTCTTTAAGAACTCCTTCGAAAGTCAGAGTTGTTGATCAATGATAGCTTAGATCGACATTTTTCGGACGAATGAAAAAAAAAGCGCAATCCCAAGGGCTATGTTTGTTCCGACACCACATTTTTTTTGCCAATGTGCCTAAATTTGCGTTAATAACGAAGAGATAGCTGTTTTGGTTAAACCAGCATTCAACATCATTTTCGAGCAAAATCCTTTGCCGTTATGTTTTGTTGGGAAAATATTAAGCTTCAATGGCGAATGACTAACGCAACAAGTTGGTCGGCCTAATTTAATCCAATCACAAATAGAAACATCTATTAATTATGTACCTTACCAGTATAATTTTTTCGAACAAAAGCAATAGTTTCACCTTTCCTCCCCTCCCCGCCTCCATCCCCTCCCCGCCCCTCCCTTCCCCGCCCCTCCCTTCCCCAGGCCCAGAAAACCAAGAGCCCATTTCTCTTTGCCCTGTGAACAATTTACATCGTCTCGCGCCAAAGTCGCGAAAAGAACCTTCTCGGCGAAGAAAAGCCCGAAAAACGGCAAAACCCAAGGGAAAGCGAGACCCCGTGGGAAAAGGCCCCGCCCCGCCCCGCCCCGTCCAACCCTCCACTATTCCCTCGGGTAAACTCGATCCTCCAAGTACCAAAGACTGGTACTTGGGGAGGGGATGCTGGGGAGGAGATCTTCCCCAGCATCCCTCGAACCATCCAGGGCGATGAGATTCTGAAAAACGAAAAAAATTCGGTTCTATTCCGTTCAGATTCGATCAAGACTCTCGAATAGATAATCCAACGCGACGAGGTGCTCCCGCTCTCTGACTGGATAATCCTCATTCCCGAATGGATAATCCTCATCCCCCGTCAAAACTCGACAGACGATCCCGTAATCGTCAAGGACAAGGGAAACGAGAGTAAACGACACGTGCGTGATGACCAAGCAACTCGCGAAGAACCCTACGCCCCGATTCAGCAACTTCCGTGCCGAAGTTGCTGAATCAAAATGCCGCTCTGAGGCGCCTGGCGAATTATCGTTCCTGATTTTTATATTTTTATTTTTATTTTTTTTTTCATTTATAAAGAAGGAAAAATTGGAAGGGAAAACCACTTTTGCACTTTTTCCCCTCTCGACAGCGGAGCCGCCTTCTCCTCCGTCGCGCCGCCTTCCCTATATAACACTCCGTTCGCCGGCGATCCGTCTCCGTCGATTGAAGGGGAAAGAGAACAGAAAGGTCAAAGGTCAAAGGTCGCAAAAATATAAGCCTAAGCAAGTAGTCATATTTCTTTGCGAAACAGTTCGCCGCGAAGGAAAGGAAGGCGGATTAAGTCTCGAAATCGCATTTAAATGGAAAAGCCTGTCGAGGAGCTTCATAATGACTCCAACAGGAAAAATACCGCTTGAGGGAATTGCGATTTTCGAGCCAACAGATGCGTTAAAAAAGATAAGGCATGATGGGATGCTGTTATTTAAACAAAACCGCTGCAAGGAATAAACTTTTCTGAAATAGGAAATTTTTTAAATATTATTTTTACAAACTGCCATCGATTTTGATTAGGATGTAAATATGGGAAACCAGGTAAATTTGCATTTTTCAGATGAGAGCGAGTTCGCCTGTTAAATTGAGCCTGCGAGGGACAGGTCTGCACATTCCGATTTGACTTAGGCCTGCTTAAGCCTGCTTAAGACTGCAATGCTGCAGAACGGGATGGATGAACCACTTTTAATAATATATTTTTAAATGTACGAGAAAAAAAAACAGGCGCGAATTGCAAAAAATATCTCGAAAAGCGTGCAAAAATTCAGCTTGTGCGGAATAAAATATAAAATACGAGTGCAGAAAAACGGAGAAAACGAGAAGAAAAAGGGACAGAAAAGGCTCGGAAAAAAAAAAGCTCAAGGTCAAAAAAAAATGCGCAAAAAAACCGGTCCCCTAGAATATCATTTAAAAGCAAATCGAAGTGCGAAGTAAATCACGATGGTTCACCGGTCCCTGGAGGGATTCCATTCCGCAGCTTGAAACATTTTTGCAAAAATAATTTTGGCAAATAAGGCATCGAAGGGTCGAATGAAGGGTGAGCGTGCGCGACTTCATAGGTGAGCGTGCACGCGTGCACCATGAGGAGATAATTGACACAATCCATGGCTGGGACCGTCGGCCCCGACCCGGGTACTGGCCAGTACCACCCGGTACCAGTCAGCTCAAAAACAAACCTGTCCAGAATTGTAAACCGCGGTGGCCGTGTATCCATAACAACTGCGCATCACGTGATCATATCATGTCTAAACCAGGAAAACCAAACTCAGCTGAAACATAGGGCGAGCAAAAAGTTGGCAGTCGCAATTCGCATGAATTTCAATTGTGCCAATTGTCAAATGTCAATTGTGCCGAAGTTTCTTTGCCTACTTTTCACGGCACAAAAAGTTACGTGCCAATTCTGATTTTTGCTTCAAGATCGTCAATTATCCATTACTAACTCCAATTGCATGCTCGTCGTTGAAAATTGACAATGGCAATTGGCTCAAGAAGTTTCAGCGACCGAAGCGGAGGAGATAAGACCGCGTGTTTGAAGCTGAATCGGCAAGGACCCGGGGGCAGCGCATGACATTGAATCAACATTGATTAGATGCTGATTCAATGCTTACTCAATGTTGATGCGATGCCGTGTGATGCGCGAACCCCGCGATGCTGACGAGTACAGGGACGAAATCGACACGCTGGACGATGAGCCACAAGCGAAAAATCGATGCTGTTCGCGGCGACCGAGTGGGCGATGCCGCGAACCGCGATGCCTCGAGCCGCGATGCCGCGAACCGCGATGCCGCGAACCGCGATGCCGCGAACCGCGATGCCGCGATGCCGCGAACCGCGATGCCGCGAACCGCGATGCCGCGAACCGCGATGCCGCGAACCGCGATGCCGCGAACCGCATCGTTCGCGGCATCGCATCGACGTGGGCCGTTGTTGCAAATTTACATGGATTTGTGTTTGCAGCTGAATGACACGGTAAACTCGCATTTCATCGATCAATGACGTGTGGTTAAGTTTGCTCTGTAGAAGTGTCATCGGTGTAATTTAGTCCACTGCATGGCTGATGCGACTTACTGGTCATTAATTAGTTTTCGACTCGAATCATGAAGAATTTTTTTTTTTTTTTGGGGGGGGGGGGGAGGCCAAACAGTACCTTTGTTGCATCGCCAAATTCCTAATGCAAAATGAACAGCAAATTCCCAGTTCCGCAAATTAAGACTGGGCTGCTGACGATGAAAGTTACGCGAGAGAAACTCCTTTGTTTTTCTGCATTACCTGGAGTGCAAAACTTCCATTATCGACGGATTTGAATGATTTTAACCGTGGGCAAAAAACGGGTCTTACTGACCCACTTCCGCTCATTTGCCAATTTGTCTGCTGACATCAGTGATGGTCGGCGCATGCGCGAGCTGATCACGTGACCTCTGAGAACAGAGTACAAAACCAGAATATTCTTGCTAAAATCCTCTCTGCAAACGTGGAAAAAATGAATTGGCAGGGGGGAAAGGGGGGGGGGGGGGGAGAAACGAGGTCATCCTCTCCGGGATCCACAGTGGACCCGACGGCGATTGGGCCCGCCCTTTAAAAGGACCTGCTCACCGCCGTCGCGGGGCAGTTCGGTCTCGTCTTCCGGTCCGAGCGCATCCCATCCACTGGGTTCACCATGTGGGCTTCCTTCACCTTCCGCATTCTCGTCGTGGCTCTGGTGAGTCTGAGTGAGTCTTTATGCCGAAAAAATCGCATGTGGGATGATGCTCTTAAGATATGATATTTGCGTTTAGGTGTTCGAGTATGTTCTTACTCAGAGCACCACAGCTAAACCGGCGCAACAACCGGCACAGCAACCACAAAAGTCGGGTAATACCACGGCTACTGCCAGTCCCAGATCCCTGCTGGGTTCGTACGACTCTTCATCCTATGGAGGACAATCTTATGGAGGAAAATACGAAGCTGAACCGTATGGAGGTAATTCATATGGTGGAAACTCATATGGAGATAATTCATACGGGAAACCAGAGTCGTACTCCGAACCCGTTGCGGAATACCAGCCACCCGCTGCATACGAACCTCCACCCCAGCCCGAATACAAGCCGCCTCCACCGAAAACCATCAAATACTCTCCTCCCGTTAAGATATTGGACTGTAAGGTGGTCTGCCATGGAGACTATATGGTGATCACCTTCAAATTCTCTGGTCCCTTCTACGGCATCATCTATCCTTACGGCCAATACGACTGCGTCGTGTTCCGGGGACAAGGAGAGACGGTTTGCGAGATCACTCTGCCCAAGAACCTCTGCGCGGCCAAGGGATACAAACCCCCAGCTGTGGCACCATACAGCTCGGAATACCTGAGACATCATATCATGGTCCAATTAGACAAGAACTTCGTGGGTGCATGGGACGTGCACGTGATTGCTAAATGCGACAAGCCCCAAGGTTACCAAAAAAAGGCGACATTCGAATTCTTCACGATTGACAAGCAGCCTGTTATGCTGTCTGTGAGTACCCCTTTTCCCCTCCTAATCCACTTAGGGCTTTAGAATGGATTAATCGATTTTTTTTTTGCTTCCAGGGGAAACTGCTGGGTGCAGCCAAGCTGACGTACGAGATCCTGCAAGGACACGGAAACTACCTGCGTCCTCTGACTGGACCCGTTCTCCTTGGAACTCCACTCACTCTGCTCTTCAAGCTAACAGAGCCCTACTTGGATATCGACATGAACATCTTGTCTTGCTGGGCTGCAGAAGGAAAGCCGAGCAAGCAATTCGTCCAGAATCCAAACTACGGCGTTGCCTCACCCGAAATCCAGGTCATCAGCAACGGTTGTTCCACTCAACCGAAGCTCTTCGAGCATTCCACGAAGTCGAGCGACGGCGGCTACGGAGGCTCGAAGACGGTGACGACCAAGATCCCCTTCCAGGCTTTCCGCTTCCCCAGGTCGGACTGCGTCATCATCCGATGCGAGGTTCAGATCTGCTATGGGAAGTGTACCGTTTACGAGACCTGTCCCATCTACAAGCCAGAGGAATACCAGCTTCCTGCATACCCTACACCCGAAGGCTACAAGGCTCCATCTTACGACGCCAAACCCGAATCTTACGATTCTTCCTACTCCAAACCAGAATCGTACGATTCTTCCTACTCCAAACCAGAATCGTACGATTCCTCCTACGCAAAACCGGAATCTTACGATTCTTCCTACTCCAAGCCGGAATCGTACGACTCTTACGCCAAACCCGAGTCATACGATAAGCCTGCATATCCAAAGCCCGAGTCTTATGAGAAGCCTGCTTATCCGAAGCCCGAGTCTTACGAGAAGCCTGCATACCAGGCTCCTCCAAGCTACGGCGCTCCCCCGGCATATGGAGGTCAGTCTAATTCTTATGGATCTGGCTATAATGCGCAGCCGAGCTCTTATGACTCTGCTCCATCAGGTTCATATGGTGGCCAATCTGGTTATGCCGCACCCGAGTCCTATAAGGCACCTTCCTATGGATCCGGTTCATCTGGCTATGCTGCTCCTGAATCCGGCTACAAAGCTTCACCTGGCGCTTACCCTGCACCCAAGCCCAGCTATTCCGCCCCGAGCAACACCTTCAGCCCTATTACCTATGGAGGAAACGCGAAGCCTTACAGTCTGTCCGACAACATCGCTGACAGGCGCAAGAGGCACATCGGTGAAATCTTGGAGACCGTTATCATTGAGCATGTGATCCAGATGGAAAACCCCGCCCCCCAGGAACTCCGAGTCATGGGTAAGTACCTGCTTTCAACAAGACTCTCTTGTACATATTTTTATTTAACTTAAATTATTTTATTTAATCCCCCTATCTAACTAAACCCGAATCTCCCATCCTAGGAACCAAGAGCAAGCCTGTTCGTTCCACTGGCAACGTCCTCATGGAAGTCGGTTCCTCTCAACTCAACGCCATCTGCGATAGCGATAAGATCGTCCTGCAACTCTCCTCTGCCAAGCCATTCAACGGCACCCTCAGCCTATTCGCACCCGGAGTTGAGGACTGCGAGGCTCACGCCCACTCCGTCGAGAAGGTCTACACCGAGCTCTCCCTGTCTCCGAAGACTTGCTCCAAGCGCCCGGAAGTCTTCATGGCTGCTCTGATTGCCGGTGACGTCGCCGAGGAAACCATCTTCGAATGCCAGATGTTCTAGCTTGGATTCATTCCTCCGGCTCTAACGACCTTTCCACGTGGTTTTTAATCGGAGAATTTAACCGGGGAAATCTTGAAAAGATAGATATATTAGGAAAATATATCTTCTGAAGAATATAGACAGTTGTATTTCTTTTGACTTCTCTCTCTTTTTGTGATTCGAACACGGAAGAATTCTCTGATGACTATTTGATACACTTCCTCGTTCTTCTCTTCCTGTGGTTACATATATTGGCTATTTCGCTTGCGACTGATGGCTCTTTATTGACAAATCCCAGCACATTTGGGAGACAACTGCCGAAAAGCTCGCAATCACGAGCGTAACAGCTGACAGATGCAACCGAGGGAAGTTCTGGGATAATTATTGGGATACCAATTGGTAAGGATATGTTTAGTATGATATTGATAATAAGGTTCTTCGCATTTGGATACTCTTGCAAGGGCATAGAAAGCAAAGGGGATGGTAAACTCTCACCATGTGGCATGCTACATGGAGGCCAGTCCTAAATTTGATCCTTTTAAGCTTTTATTTCCGGTTAAATGCATAGCATTCCGTGCAACGGTTTGCACTGCATAACTGGAGCCACCGTAACAGAATTTTGGGCAACTATAATGTAAAAATTTCGCCTTACATTCTTTAATAAAAGCCTGCGGCCCCAGGAAAACAATATAAATAGCAATCCAAATGCACTTTTGCTCGAATTGCCCCATTGCTCATGACCTAAAAAAAAAATTCCGAACAAAATATGGGAATTAAAGACACAATTTCTTTTTAAATCTCTGCACACTCGCTGAAGTTTCATCGAAAATATAAGCTTAATCTCATTACGCTGAGAAATGAGATTTCGTCAATGGCAGCCTCTTCCCAACGCAGTTCGTTTCAAGTTCAACCACACCCAAAAAATTGCCGTCTACATTGCACCTACCATCATGAAACCTTTGTCTTTATTTGAAAATGTTTTGGGTACGAATGAACCCGATAAGAAGGAAAATTAAAGAGCAAGAGACTGGCAAGGAAGGTAACTGAAACACAATTTCATATTTAAAAAAAACATTTGCGAAACTCGTATTCACCCATCAGGAAAGCTAACTTCCGAGCTACAAGCGATTCGAGTGACATCTCGTGGCCGCCAAGTCACTTCTATTTCAGCGAAATAGGGGTAGGTTGGCCCGCAGACCACCAGAGCACGAGCGACCGAATTTTGGATCAGATTTCGTGCACGGAGGAAGGGCAGGGGCAGCACCTTATGCCCTGTGCACGACCGTCTTCACTCTGGAGGAAATTTAAACTCTCCATTCAACGAAAAGGCAAATGAAACATCCTTGACCAGGCGATATGGAAGGTGCCACGTCCTCGGGGCATGGGGGAGGGACACATCGGAGGCTGGTTAGACAAGCTGAATCCTATGAACGACTTCTATCATTCTCATTGTATTCGATTGGGGCATAGGAACGGGGCTTGCTGATTACAGACCGACCGACGCCGCTCGATAGAAGCGAACACTTCCTTGGCCTTCTCTGGGCAGGTGAAGGAGAGGGCCAGACCCAGGCCTCACCCTCTCACGGGCTGCTACAAGTCATTTAAACATTACATTTGCAGACGTGGAGCTGACCATACTCATATTCACCATTCTTATTCCCTCACGATGGCCCTCGTTCGACATCCCGTAAATTCCATTCCATAACGAAGAGTTGAAATTTAATATACGTTCAACCTCAGCAAAGGAAATAATTTAAATCGACATCCTGTTTTTACGCGCTTCAGAAATTGTTCTGGAATAAATTCGACATAATCGAATACCGAGTTATCTCCCAATGCAAAAAAGACGAAAAGTGCCAACCTGAAATACAAAATCTTGATGGAAAAAAATATGAAAAGCTAAATGCGAAATGCGGGCCATGATTAACTTGAGGTAGTTTTTGAAGCTCAATGTTAGAAAAAGTGCCAAACACTTTCCATTTCAAAAGATTCCATATCTTAGTACACTTTCCACCAAAAAAGGCATTTTTCGACATTCGAAAGTAGAGTTCACGTTGCTTCGGAAGTGCGACATTACCATGAAACTACTGCTCGAACGACTAATTTCAGCTCGAAGTGTTTAAGAGCATAGAAACCATACCGAAACCCAAGCATGGTTATAAAATGCAACAATGAATGAAAAACGCTTTCATTGGATAAGCACGATGCCGATTAAAGTGGCTGAATTAGTTTTGCATTAAGTATTAATTCCACAAATTACGATTTTTAATTGAAGTCACGGTGACAGAGCCTCATAAGACCAAGTCATGAGGAAATCCTCAGCTTTACGATTTCCAAACGGTCAACTATAGCGCAATCCCAACGCCCAAAAGTTCACTTAAATGGACAACGTCAAAAATACGACTTTTGACTTGGGATAGATTTTTGGTGACAAAACGGGAGTCCATAGATATCCGTGCCAGCATTAGGGTTAGTAAGGCTGGAAGGAAGCGGACGAGGAGAACAAAGTACCATTTCCAATCCCATTCTTCAGAAATGGGAAAATGGTGACGAATGCCCTTCAAATTTGGGCTGAAGGGCTGTGCTAAGAGCAGATAAGTGGAATTACGTATTCCCCATTCATTCATCGAATAATGAGATCCAGTTGCTTCTTCTGAAACATTGTAAGAAATAATTGGGGTTTTAGTCACGAGTCACAGGGTCGAAAAGGGAAACAATCAAGTTGATAAACGTGCTGAAATATATTTTAAAAATACGGAACTGAACAACATTTCCTATAAAATACTTTGAATAAAAAAAAAAACAAGATAAAAGGGTCACTGGGAGCCTGAGAGGAGGAATCCAAGCTAAGACATCTGGCATTCGAAGATGGTTTCCTCAGCAAAGTCGCCGGCGCTAAGAGCAGCCATGAAGACCTCCGGTTGCTTGGAGCAGGTCTTCGGTGACAGGGAGAGCTCGGTGTAGACCTCGCCGAAGGAGTGGGCGTGAGCCTCGCAGTCCTCAACACCCGGTGCGAAAATACTGAGGGTGCCGTTAAAAGGCTTGGCAGAGGAAAGCTTCAGGACGATCTTCTCCTTGTCGCAGTTGGCCTTGAGCTGAGAGGAACCGAGTTCCATGAGAACGTCGCTAGTGGAACGAACAGCCTTGCTCTTGCTTCCTGGAATGGAAGAAAAGGTTTCAGCCTTAGGGGAATGTGTACACAACAATTCCTGATCAAGTACTTACCCATGACTCGGAGTTCCTGGGTGGCGGGATTTTCCATCTGGATCACATGTTCGATGACAACGGTCTCCAAGACCTCGCCAACATTTCTCCTTCGCCTGTCGGCGATGGAATCCGACAGACTGTAGGGTTTCGCGTTTCCTCCATAGGAAATCGGGCTGAAGGTGTTACTCGGGGCGGAATAGCTAGGCTTGGGTGCAGGGTAAGCGCCAGGTGAAGCTTTGTAGCCGGATTCAGGAGCAGCATAGCCAGATTGGCCACCATACGGAGCCGAGTAAGAGCTCGGCGGTGCATTATAGCCAGATCCATAAGAGTTCGGCTGAGCATAGTTTGACTGACCTCCATAGGATGGGACAGAGCCATAGCCAGAGGGAGCTGGGTAAGCAGGTGTATCGTACGACTCGGGTTTGGGATAAGTGTCGTAAGATTCCGGTTTGGGATAAGATGAATCGTAAGATGGAGCCTTGTAGGCTTCTGGTGTCGGGTATGAAGGAAGCTGGTATTCCTCTGGCTTGTAGATGGGGCAGGTCTCGTACACGGCACATTTCCCATAGCAGATCTGAATCTCGCATCGGATGATGACACAGTCTGACCTGGGAAAGCGGAAAGCCTGGAAGGGGATCTGTGTTGTGACCGCCTTCGAGCCTCCGTAGCCACCGTCTTTGTTCTTCACGGAATTCTCGAAGATCTTGGGTTGAGTGGAACAACCGTTGCTTATGACCTGGATCTCGGGTGAAGTAGCGCCATAGTTGGGATTCTGGACGAATTGCTTGCTCGGCTTCCCCTCCACTGCCCAGCAGGATACGATGTTCATGTCGATTTCCATGTACGGTTCGGTCAGCTTGAAGAGCAGAGTGAGTGGAGTTCCAAGGAGAACGGGTCCAGTCAGAGGACGGAGGTAACTTCCGTGGCCTTGCAGGATCTCGTACGTCAGCTTGGCTGCACCAAGCAATTTCCCCTGGAAGGGTGGATTTTATAATTAATTAATTCGTACTATAACATTTAACGGATTCAAAGGAAAGGTACTTACGGACAGCACAACAGCCTGCTTATCAATCGTGAAGAATTCGAATGATGCCTTCTTTTGGTAACCTTGGGGCTTGTCGCATTTAGCAATCACGTGCACGTCCCATGCACCCACGAAGTTCTTGTCTAATTGAACCATGATGTGATGTCGCAAATATTCCGAGCTGTATGCCGCCAGAGCTGGGGGTTTGTATCCCTTGCCTGCGCAGAGGTTCTTGGGCAGAGTGATCTCGCAAACCGTCTCTCCTTGTCCCCGGAACACGACGCAGTCGTATTGGCCGTAAGGATAGACGATGCCGTAGAAGGGACCAGAGAATTTGAAGGTGATCACCATGTAGTCTCCATGGCAGACAACCTTGCAATCTAATATCTTAACGGGAGGAGAATATACGATGGTTTTCGGTGGAGGCGGCTTGTATTCGGGCTGGGGTGGAGGCTCGTATGCAGCAGGCGGCTGGTATTCCGCAACCGGTTCGGCGTACGACTCAGGCTTGGGATAGGAAGATTCCCCATAGGAGCCTCCTCCATACTGTATATTAGATCCATATGACGGAGCCTTGTAGTTATCGTCATAACCCGACAATAGGCTCTTGGCTGACAGCGGTACAGCAGTGGAGTTAGCCACCTCCGTCCCTGCGTTCTGGGCTACACCATGCTGCAACACCTGCATAGAAGGAACCAATTAACCACCGTTCATAACTTCAACGACGCGAAATGCTGCAGACTCACCAGAGCGACGACGAGAAGGGGAAACGCCAAGGAAGCCCACATGACTGGAGGACGAAACCGAACTGAATCGCTATTGTGTGAGCATGCCTCTTTAAAGAGTGGCGGAGCAAGTTTTCGTCTGGGGGATTGCCATGCCCTTGAGGCACTCCATGGTCCCTGCCCTGTCGCACAGTTCCTTTATCGGGGCTTTTTTTTTTTCCAGAGAGAGAAGTCTCTGGGTTCGTGAGTCGAGGCCGTTCGAGGAAAAAAAAAAGTTCCGCGTATGGCTCGTGTCTGAATGAATGACGAAGACGCTCTAGCAAAATCGACGGTTTCGTTTTGATTTTGCAAGAAACATTCTCTCGTCCCGTATCCAATTTCAAAAAAGTGAGTTTAAAAAAAATCAAGAATAAAGTTGCGAAATATTTTCATTGTTCGGCATATTTATTTCCGCCAATAAATTCATCATCTCTACGAAGAGAGTGAACTCAACGTTGAGTTTTGGAAGTTGGTGACCCCATCTCCAAAACTCTTCATTTTGCCTCATATTCGTGATAAGTCACCGAAAACGCACATTCCACCTTTTTTTCCCCAAGTACCTTGCGAATTCAGCATTGCCGATCCATGACAGGAAGAAAAAGAAGTACGAAAAGGAATTTTTCAGTCTTCCGAGACTCCTTCTTTCAACTCGACCATTGATTCCCCGCGTTGAACGCTCAGGACAGCAGATGCAAGCTAACAAAAAAAAAAAAACATTCTGGGCAAGCCCACTCCAGTAGTGGGCCTCCTTTCATTTTAGGAGACCCGCATTTTGCCAAATAACAGAATGCCAACTCTTCCCAGTCTTCGGCCTTCAATAACATCTTTTTTCAGCTTCGTTTGGAAATTATCATCGACGCCCATGAAACGATGGCGGGCTGTGCGCGCTTGGAACCATCCGCCACGAAGGTTGGGAGGGAACTGACACCTCTAGTTGCCGACACGCCGCCGCGCGGAAGGCATGGATCATGCGCGCATGCGCGTTGTGGCCCAGACCCTGAAGGGTGAACTCGGGCCTATCCCTTCGTTAGCAAATTTCAAGCCCAAAATTTGCACTAAAAATGCCAGTTTTGGTGCATATTCGCCACGAAACTGACTCAGCCTGTATCTTTTTCATATCTACATGCTTGCCAATTTTCGCATTGGTCAGGCAAATATTTTCTTAGTTATCGTCAGACAACCAGTGTGACACACGGACACACAGACGGACACACAGACGGACACACAGACGGACACACAGACGGACACACAGACGGACACTGACGGACACACGGACACAGACGGACACAGACGGACAGGACGGGACCTTAAGTGGTCTCTTTCTAAAAAAAAGGATCAAATGAAAGGCTCTCTTGATGAATGTATCTTTTTTCTGGAACTGAGAAGGTTAATCACGATAATTAAGGCTTATTATCATGCTCATAACCATGTTGAGCATAAATACAGTGTTTTTCACTTCAGTTAGACAATTTTTCACTTGACTTCGACAAAAATGTCTAACTCAAGTGAAAAACACTGTATGTTGGCTGCTACCTCCACCATTGAGAACGTTCAATTCGGTGCATCTATTCTCGGTTTCCTGGACCGTTTCAATATCGACGATCTCATCGAGATGGTCTGCCTGTGTCCTTCAATATCTTGATTGCACGATTGTCAGGGATAATTGTTCTGCTCTTATGGACACCACGGATTGTGCATCCAAGGAAGAAATGGTAATTTTTCCATTATAGAAATGGCATTAGGCCTACATATTTATTAGGCCTACGGGTCTCATGGGGATCCAGTCGGGGAAAAGGAAAACTACAGATAAAATTCCACTGAAAGAGCTGATGGAAGTTCGACGGGATTCACAAGGGGAGAATTCAGACGCGGACACCGCTTCCTGGCCCACCGAGAAACACCGAATTGTCCGATGACACGCTCGCTCGCTCGCTCCGATGTTTGAGCGACATCTCGAGAGTCTTCCCTGAACTGATGGCATGATGCGAGTTGGCGCGGATTCTCATCTGCGAGCAAATTCAGGGTTGTCATGCGCTGCTTCATCCACTGCTGCTGGATGTGTCGTTGTGGAAAGATGTTGCCGCCTGGTAATGTTTAAAGTCGTGATTTCGCGTGTAGTGCTGAATCGCAGTCGAAATTTTCGTAAATTAGCGGCACTGCTTCGCCGACAGGAGATGCTCTTCCAGCGTCGGAGAAGCGACAGCTCTGGCAACCCTAGACGGCGAGAACCCCTGCTTTTGGGCGGCAGTCGGTTCGGAGACGTCGCACGTGATCGACGGTGCCTCCTGGGTCCTCCTCGTCTCCTCGCATCAGCGAGAAAGGGAAAAGGTGCGTTACGAGTCGTGTTTGTTCCGCTTATTGGCGATATAATCGAGGTTTTAGGCCGTTTTGGGAGCCGACGCATGAAGATGGCGGCGTGACTTCGAAAGAACAAAAATATCGCTGGCGTTACGGAAATTTTTTTATTTATTACTGCATGTTTGCATTATATAGCAGCTTGAAAACAAAGTACTCGGTCCCATCGCATCCCGCAGATTCAAATCGAGAAGACATCTTTCCCATTTTTTCTCTTCGAAACCTGCTAAGCATATTTTTTCCGTCTTCTCCGGCTACTTACCATATAATAAATGACAGCACGAGCTTGAAAGATCTCCGTTACTCCGTGCGACTCCCACAAACGCTTATTAATTGGCTCCAAAGTTAAGCTCAGTTAAAATCTATTTCATTCCTCAGAGAAAAAAAAGTCCCTGAAGGACACCATGGCCTCAGAGGTCAAGAGTAGACGACGGCATGCTCCCAGAAGTCGTCACGAGCGAGTGCCACAATCGGAATTCGCAGATGCGTGGATTGCGTTCCCCATTGCTCCCAGCACTTCGCGCTCATCCGTTTCTGTGCTGCCTCAACGTCGGCATCCACGTGGATGACGGTTCCAGGACCCGTGTGAGAGTTCAGCATCATCTAGCATGTTCCCGGCCGACTGCAGCCTCCTCCCGCATCCTGAAGATGGCAGAACGATCGGCAACCGGTTTCCCCTATCGTACTTCCACCCAAATCCCCCTGTAAGTTTGAGCTTGAGCCTCTCTCGCGTGAATTCAAAATTCCGACCCGCGCTTCATCCCCCCCGAAGAAATTTCTTCCCTTTTAGAGAAAACCTCTCCATGTCTTCTCTTACCACGACTCAACATTTTCCGTTTTCACTGTTTTCCCCCTCTCGCAAGCTGATTCGTTCCCAGCAGACTCGTCAAGTCTCACGCAAGTTTGATCCGCAAAGCATGGCTACGAAAAATGGCCTAAAGTAAGTACGGATTTAAAAATCAATCAATCTCGAGCCAGTAGCCCGCATTTCTTCCCCCAATGTGCAAGCATGCACTTCTTTTTTATTTCATGCAAGCAGCTATGTAAAAGTCCTTTGAACCGTGGACAGGCAGCGACATCTCCCCGCAACTTTTCGAACTGCGAGGGTTTAACCCTTATAGTGCCAGAGCCGATTAGAGCGACGCTGCGAATTTCGTTGAAAAAGGCCGGCGTCGAAGAGCCGACGATAAAAGGGTTAAGAAATGCTTTTAGTCCGAGATCGTGCTCCTTCTCGAACTTTAGACCTTTCAGTGACCTTTAGACCTTTCTTAGACCTCTTCGACTCTGGCATTTTGAAGCGAAATTCGGAGCGCCGCTCTAATCTTCTAAAAAAGGTTAACATAAAAAAAAATGTGGCGTCCGTTCCGTTTCCTCAAATGTGGAAGATCAATCTAAGATTAATCATTCGATTCAACCCACCCGAACTCAACGACGAAACTGGAGATTCCTCCCGCGTATGATTAATTGCACGGTTCCCCGCCACGAGGCATCAAATTTTATATAACAACATATAATGAAGTAATTGCCGTCGATTTGACCGCAACCTCGCCCACAGTAAGAGGCACAGCCGCGGCGACCTCATTCAACCCGAATGCCGTGTTGCCGACCACGTCAAAGATTTCAAAGCGGATCCAGCTTCTTTTTTTCTCCCAAAATGAATGCTTATGTAATTCATACGTGATAAAACGTGCTTTTGAGTTGGTGCACGAACCGTGAAAGTCACTCCGAGAAAATCCGGGGGAACACTCTCCGTTGTTTGTTTGTGCAAATCGGTTTCACTTCACAACGGAAGTTATGAAGTGAAACCGATTTGCACAGGGCGCTGATCCGAAGCGGGGGTAGACCCCGCAAAAGCCCCGGTCCGACGCATCGCATCTCGACGGTGACTGTCATGGAGCCCGAAGACCCCGCGATCCGTCTCGTTAGTATCAGCTGAACCAATTATTCCGGAATTTTTTTTTTTCAGTGGGCCTCGAATGAAACGAGAGGAGCGAATCATGAACGTGAAAGTTTTTTTCGCATCATTCGAAAACCTGCTTCCACGTCGGAAAATTGCGTCCAATTTCCATCCGGTGACATTTCGTCCCAATCGAGGCGGGGTCGGCCTTTTTGGAACAATATCGACACAATATCGTCTTTATTGGAGATATTACGATATTAATATTTACGATATTAAATATATTTAAAAAAGTTCGGAAACTCCGAGCCTCGCAGATCGACAAAAAAATTCAACAAAATCGCAGATCGACAAAATTCGTATTTGAAGTCGCCGGGGTCGACCGACCTCACTTGCAGTCGCACACGCCGATGGAGAGGGAGGGCTTGTCGCGGGAGAGGGAGGGCTTGTCGCAGGCGAGGCGGAGGAAGAGGTTGCCCAGGGCCGTGCCGGCGAGGATGGAGAGGCAGAACCAGAGGTTCAGGTACATGAAGCCGATCATGAGGAGGTAGCCGAGGGAGACCTGGATCACGTAGCAGGTCGTTCCGGATACGGTGCCCCAGACTCCGTCGCGAGTGAGCTTCAGGCTGCAGGGATGACATATGAGGGGAGGGGGAGGGGGAGGACGGGAATAAATGGAGGATCAGGATGATTACATGGTGAAAATAAGTAATGATGGTTGGAATCATGCACATTTGGGATGACTGCGGTGGCTTTCGCTCTCTTTGAAGGGAAAGGAAGAGCAGTTTAGGCTGAGTATCTTTCTTTCGGGATGTTTTATCCTTTGGGGCAACGAGGAAAACTAAAAATGCGGTTCTCCACATCTTTAGATTTTTCTTTCCCCGATGCAAAATGCCAAGGTGATAAGTTAATGCATGGCGGAAGTTGAACTGGGGGGCAGTAGGGGGAAAGGAAACGAAGGGAAAGGAAACTAAAAGGGAAAGGGATGCTTGGTGCCAGACATGTACGGAGTAGGAAAGCACGAGCAAGGATCATTGCTCCCTTCACGAGGAAGGAGCGTTACTCCATCCACGAGGAAGGAGCGTTACTCCATCCGCCTTTCTTCTCGGTCGCGTACCTTCCTCTTTCGATTCCATTTTGGTTGCAGTTTTTTGGGGCGTGGATGGGAATGAGGGGGCGGGGGGTGGGACTGACCTGTAGTGCTTCAAGGCCTCGAAGGTCAAGGCCATGAGGAAGAAGAAGAGGCAGGAGAGGATGAATCCGATGAGGGAATCTCCCGTGTACCAGCCAGGAAAGAGGACGTGCTCCGACGTCCCCACGTGGAATACCACATGCTGCGAAATTAAATTGTTAAAATTTGTGGCACGTGCCCTTCATCGAACGTTTCGTTCCGGCAGCGTGGCCGGAGAGGAGGGGGGGGGGGGGGCGGGGGGGCAGGGGGGGCTAGAGACCCCGCAACCTTAGTCTAATTGCATGCACGATAAGCCTGAAGAAGTCGGAGATTCGCCCAGTGAAGGAATTTCTTAACATACTAGCTTGACGAGCCCAGCGAACCGTACCCGATCCCCTTCAGAATAAGCATAAACGCGGCTAAGAACTTCATAGGGTAAGCACCCCGGTTTCTGGCCGGTCTCCAGTTGTTATCCCTCCTCCCTTCCTCCCTCCCCCCTTCCTCCCTCCTCCCTTCCTCCCTCCTCCCTTCCTCCCTTCCTCCCTCCTCCCTCCTCCCTGCTTCTTCTTGCCTTCCGCCTTCGTTCTGGAGGATTCGCTCGGTGAAATTCTGATTGGATGCGGATGCGATTCTTGGTTGCCTCGGGAGGTCCCGTTGACGCTCGTCGCGGGCTCTCGAGCGCTGCGTGCATGCGCCTCGCGGCAGATGGCGTGATTGGCGATTTTTTTTCCGGAACAAAGGTCCGTGTCTCCGTTCTCATTAAGTCCTCGGGTTCCATCTGACATTTTTTTACGACGCTCGTTCCGGGAATGATTCCGGTCTGGAAATCCTCGAGCGAAATATCGGACGCAGTCGCAAAAGTCGTCCGTGAAGATCGCATCACGCCGAACGTAACGGGCGACCCGAGATCTTCCGCCTTCGTCCGACAAAATCAGATAGACGGAACCGCATGGAAAAAACGCGATCTCATCCGATCTCGTTTCTCCGAACTCGTGCCATTGCAACTTTCCTTTTCCTCGACCGAGCGACCCCACGTAGATCAGCTGGTGTTGGCTCCACACCCGCGATCATATAATGTAGGACCGCATCCCGCGATTAGATATATTCATGCACTTGTTTGCGGTACTTCCTGCCGTGTAATAAAAAATAAATAAAGTCTCCGCGGTCGGGCGATACGTGCCGGAAGACATCAATATCGCAAACAGAAAAAAATAATGGAACTGCGCAATAGAAAGTCTCCAGCTGATAGAATCGCAGACCCGAAAAACAAGCGGCGACCTTGGATTTCCTCCTTTCTCCCGAAGGAACTCGGACACACGAGTCCCGCATTGCGTAAACACGGTCGAGACGACGAGAGATAGGAACGACGAACCTGATGCATGAAATGCGAAGACTCGGGGGACTCGGGGGACGCATGGGACGTATGGGACGCAGGGGACGTGAAGGACGCAGAGGACGCGGAGGCCATGTGGACGTTCCCTCCCTGCGCCACGACGACGGGGACGACGATGCACAACGCGGCCGCCGCTAACACTGCCCGGCACCGGAGAGACACCGAGGATCCGGCCCGTCGAAGAGGGGGGAGGGACCACGCGGGGAGGGCCCACGCGGGGAGGGTCCACGCGAGACCCCTCGGAGAAAGTCTCGGTCGCGGCTGAGCACGCATCCACGCACGTGCACCGGGACCGACGCGAAGAAAAATGCTACCGTTCATAAAGCCACTCAGTCATCACGCGCAGCGAAGCGAGAAAGGAGGGTGCTTCAGGACGTTCATCGACGATGACGGTGGACTTCCATCGGCGATGACGGGGGACTTCCATCGGCGATGACGGTGGACTTCATCGATGGGATCGTTAAGCAAATAATGACGTTCAGCCTGGTTATTGTTCTCTTTTCTCGCCCGCGGTCGACTAACGGGTTCGAGGCCCTCGAGGCCGACACTCGAAGCCTACTCTCGACGACGATGCCATTCGACGACGATGCCATTCGACGACGATGCCACTCGACGATTATCATCGGTTTAAAATGATGGAATGCGCGAATCCTTCGGGGATCCTTTCACCCGAACCTTCTTCCCTTTCTCGTCGACGCAGGGTTGTCGACGCAGTGTTGTCGACGCAGGGTTGTCGATGCAGGGTTGTCGATGCATCGGTATTTGCGCCGCCGAAATTTCCCTTCTAAAGTAGTGATTCCCGGGTTGGAATACTTTTTTCCGCCAAAAATTCCCCGGATTTCGGAAGTGGGCCGCACTTTCTCCTCGAGGTCGTCCGATCGGAAGATTCCGACCCAATTGCATGCAAAAAATTAAATTGCCGCATTAAAAATAATAACGTTCCCCGCCATGCGTGTCGCCGTGCGCTCCCACACTCACGCTTCCGCTCACGCGTGAAGTGCCTCATCGGAAACAGCCACCGGGGATAGAAAAGATGGCTAAGGGATAAAGTGTACAGGGTGTTCCAAAAGTGAATTCCTCCACTTAGCTGATTTTTTAAAGAGGCACTGAGATGGCGCCACCGTCACCAATCATAGTTTTACAAATCCGATATCGGCCTCGAAGGTTCAATTCAAGCATTTAAATCAGATCCAGCGAAATGCAAATCATCCTCGTCGGGCCGAACTCCGAGGGCGGCACGGACCGCAACAACACTCTCCGCGCCGGTCAGAGCCGTCGCTGATCTCGCGCGAAGTCGGATTCGTTGAAGGCGAGAGGGGTTCATCTCATCCGGCACTTCGCTGGCTTGGGAAAAAAAAAGAAGAATGCAGCAAGAGATAATTTGTGTGTTTTCGCAGCATATTGCTGAGATTGGATCAGGATGCACTGTTGGTATTGCGTCAAGATACATTGCATCAAGATACAGGGCGTCCATAAATCATTGAAGGAGTTTTAAAAATGTATATCTTGAAAAATACTTTGAATTAATTTACCAGGTTTTCGTCAGATAGTACCTCAACATCATAGGTCTTTTATAGTTGCATTTAGCGCGTGCGTGGCTGCAGAAAGAGAAATTTCGAGTGACTTCAGAAAAAGTCGTCAGGAGACGATTCGATTAAAAGGTGGAATTCATTCTGGATTTTTTTTAAAGCACGGACAGAAATTTGAATTTCGCAGAGCTGCAAGCGCTTTGAAGTTTGCTGAGGGCAAGTTTAAACAGGAAAAAGAAACTTATAGCGTTTAGCTACTGGTCAAGGACTTCAAGGACTTTCAAGGACTTCCACACAAGATAGGAAGAGGGCGCTGGGGTCGAGAACGCATAAAAATCGCGGATTTTCCTTGCACCTGATGGAAACCTTTCATGCGAGAATCAAACATCAGGTGAAATAATTTAATTTCTATAAATAACTACGAGAACTACTATCCAAGGTCGAAATTCTGATATGCTACAAATTACCTGATGCTGCATCGCTTTGGCGTCGTATCGCATTTCGGTAACCTGATCTCATGCCACGGAGCGATGCAACCGGGAGGAAAGATCGACACGAAGCGGAAAGATGGCCAAGAAAGTAGTTGCATCGTCTGTACAAAGAGACGGTATTAATAAGGTATTTGATTAGGTATTTGATCGGGTATTTTACCACGTATTTTATAGGGTCGGTGTTTCACGTCGTGGAGCTCCTCATTTCCACTTCGGAATTATTCGCACCCGGTGCAGATCAGCCCGACGAAGTCGAAGATGGTGATCGAAGAAACACCGAGGCCGATTCCCCCGATCCCTCCGATGCTCGACGGGAGGTCGAACTGCGGCACCCACCGACGTCTGACATCCGCACGCCCTCGCGTGCACGCCCACATCCTCTGACACGCCCCAGACGGCCACTCCGCGTCTCGGCACGCCGGCTTCGGGAACCGGCAGGCCTGAAGGTCAGGGTTCGCGCACGGAACATTCGGCTCCGCCTGCAACCTTTCCCGAAAGCATTTCTCCATGCACTGCCAGATCCCAGCATCCGTAAGCAATTCACCTCCTTTCAATTCACCCTAATCATGCATACACCTCGTTATACTGAATTCACCCTCGTGTAGCTGCAGTCCTCATCCAGGATGCAGGGATCCTCTTTTCTGCTCTGTTTCTCGACGATCTCGGGGCGAATCTCTCGTGACGGTGTCGTCGAGCAGGACGATCTGCTCCGGCTCGAATGCGCTCAAAATTGCGAAATGTATGGTCGATGGCGAAAACTTCTGCGTGTTCTTCTTCTTAATAATAAATGTAAGTAGAAGTAATGTAGACTATGAGGTATCACGATTGAGAAATAATTGCTTCTTAAACCTTAGTTGTTGTTTGTGATAACACCATTCCAAAATGAAATAATACCTGCATATTCCTTACAATTTTTTGTTTTCCTGACGATTGCCTCTGGGGATCCATTTTGTTAAGTTTACCGTCTGTGCTCAATAGCTTATCCGTTGAGTTCATGGGGGGGGGGACCGAATTCATCCATTACGAAAAAATTCATTGCTCAGATTCTTCTTCCTTGAATGAATCAATTTTTTCGAGTGTAGACCAGTTTTTCCTATTCTTTAAACTCATGTTTTTATTTATTTTTATCGAACAAGTTTATTATTTATCCATTCATTTTATTCTCGAGGAGAACGCATGGACATACGAAGCTTTTGCGACTGAATTCTTTCCATTCGCCTCGTTCAGGACGAAAGCAATTAAAAAATAATGACACTCTCAATGATTCCATCCGGCTTTCTTCCGCGCATTAATGGCTATCGACGTCCGCTTTCATCCGATGAAAACGGATCTCGATAAGCGTTAATCCTCTTCGGCCATCGGGATCCTGGAAATTGCCGCCATTAATTTTGCACACACCTATTAAACACCCACGAGTGTCCTTTATTCGTGATGCGGCAACTCTTCGTATTCCATAATACGTCCAATTACTTTTCAATTCCATATTTCAATCGCAAAGGACTTCATCCGTCGAAAGAAGACCGCCGCTTAAGCGTTAATCCGTTAGACAAAATCCGACAAGAGCAGCGTTTTTGATGCAACAAAGACGTGACTACCCCTGGTCAAACCGGGAAAATAATTATTATGCGAGTTCAGTGACGGCTAGGTGAGACGCCTTTGCGTGCAGCTAGCACCGATTGCACCAGTTCAAACGGATACGTCAATTATTCTAATGCATTTCCCTATCGCTGTTTCAGGATTGCGCTATTCTAGATAAGCCAGTGAAAGGCTGAATGGACAATTGGGCTCCTCTGTAGGCCGTGCGGCAGCTCTTAACCCTTTGACCGCCAAGCCCGGGTAGACAATTGCAGGTTGAGAGTGGCATGTATGTCACGCCGCGACTTTCGGGCTGAAGATTATTTACATCTCTCGTTATAATTCCCTTTATGGACTTAAACAGCCACGATGTTCTCAAGGGTCTGAAGCGATGGGGGGGAAAAAGCGTGTGGCGGGTGCTGCCCTCTTCAAAACTCAGGTCGAACGGTTAAGACTGACAACATCTGGTTTGATTTTCGATTCCGAAGACGGGCGATGTCTCGTTACGTGCAGATTTCAGTTTATGGTCTGCCAGTCACGCATTGCCGCGAAAAACTTTCATGTATTTGTTCATGTTGTGGGGGGGAGGATTATTTCAAATTCTGACGCGGAGAAATGAGGAAATGCTCTAGTTCAGTGGTTCTCAAACTTCCCTTTACTCCCATAGAAGATCCATGTGGTCCGCGGATGGCAGATTGAGAACCACTGCTCTAGTTGTTTGCTGATCAGGCTCAAATTTCGAGAAGCATCTTAGATACAAAGAAGCGCATGAATGGATAAAATGTTATGTCTACGTAGCCCCAGGTGCAGTCCCAATCGTTCCCGTCGCTTCAGATCATTACACTCATTCGGGTCAGCGATGGGAACAGATCGGAACGAGAAAGAAAGGGCTAATCGGCTTTTGTGAAAGCGAGAAGAAACCTAACCGGCGAGATGCAGCGGAGTCCGCGCTCCCAGAGTCTGAGCGGACGGAGGCCCCTGGCTTAGGAGGAAGGTATCGAGCTGCCTGAGGAAGGGGGCGTTAGGAGTTCCAAGATTGAGTGGAACCTTCTTCCACGATTTAAGCGCCATTTCGTTTTGGATCTGCGAACCTTGTTTAGAATAATTGTCTGATGGATTCCACTCCAGTCTACATCTGAACATAGAGTAAACGTCGATATTTAATGAAAGGGTTGATGATACAAGGATATCATGGTCCATGCATTCGATGTTGTCATTTCTTTTCACCTGTAATGTGGGAAAAGATTCAGCCACCATGGCATTGCTAGGGAAGTAGGAGTCAATAGTTGCACCTGTTGTCTTTTATTGTCTAATTTGTTTATTTTTCAGGCGTTCCTGGCTTGGAGCTTTCTCCTTTGTAATGGCCAGAATACAGTCTACGGTAGAATACTTATACTGGGTAGTCCAAAAAAAACGCGCCCTGTTTGACGCTTTGTAGAACCAGTTGTGGATCATCTAGGTTCGTGATGTTTCCGTATTATATTGAAAATACCACAGAATTTGTTTTTGAATGTATCATATGCCTAAGACGTCTAAATTGAGGACATTAAAGACTACTTTTTGCTCCACGTTCTCGTCGTAGTATTCTACACGTCGTAGAAAAATACTGCTGTCGTACGTCGAAGCATCAGAATCGATACTAAGAATTGGCACAAAAAGCAGCATTTATGGCGTCGAGGGAGAGAAATTGTTCGAGCATTCCTGACGATTCGTGCCCGTTGTCTAATTAAAAGAGGACAATCAAGAGCAAAAGCGTTGCACATCCCAGTGCAAATTTCATCATCCGTTTTAGGACTTTCCTCCCCCTGAAGCCATTCATGATCCTCAATCCATAGTCTGCTAGAGAAAAGAACCAAAACGTGGCGAGACTGCTGTAAGGGATTGGAGAAAGTTTTCTTTTCTTGACCAGAATAAATGAGAAGCACGAAAAGTGGATTCCTTCTCCGCGAAGACATTGAACTCCACATTCCGTTGCATGAAGAGACGATTCCATTTTTTCGGATCAGTGCTTGCCATCGGGGAGGATCTCATTTCTCTGCTGGTATAATTTGTGGCGAAGACTGAAGTAGACCTGTTCCATGATGTCGAAGAGTGTGATCAAAGAAGCCCCGAGGCAGATTCCCACGATCCCTCCGATGTTCGACAGAAGATCCACGAGGTTCACCTTCTCCTTCTCCAAGAACTGCGGTACCTGTGAAAGTTATAAGGGAACCAATAGGGACTTTTCCCCTAGAGGACCCAGAGGAATGAGCCTTAGGAGCGAACCCGTTTCGAAGGGAATCCGAAGACGAGAATGGCCTTCCCGTCCCCGACGGAATCGGCCAAGTCCCGCCGACACACGGATGTCGGATCCGCGAAGATCCGATAGTCCGTAACGTTGCACCTCTTCGGACATCCACAGGCGCGCGCGTGCACGCTCGCATTCAAAGAAGCGTCGGTGTAGGTGTTCACCAAAGTCATCAGATGGTGCCTCTCGCTCACCGCGTCCCGACAACCCTGTTTCGTCACGCGAGCCTCCTTGGGCAGAAGGTCAGGGTTCAGACAAGGCAGGTTCGGGTCTGCCTGCATCCTTTCCCAGAAGCAGTTCTCCATGCACTGCCGGACGCCAACATCGCTGAGTCTTTCAACTTCCCTCAATTCACCCTATTAATGCATGCACCTCCTTATGCTGAACTCACCCTCGTGTAGCTGTAGTCCTCATCCAAGATGCAAGGATCCTCTTTTTTGCTCTGTTTCTGGACTATCTCGGGGCGAATCCACAGACTCGTGAGGGTGTCGTTGAGCAGGACGATCTGCTCCGGCTCGAAAAAGCCCAAAGTTGTGAACTGCTCCCTTTGATCGTGCACGAACACTTCCATCTGCATGGAATACTCGCAGAAATGAAGGGCAAGCCCTTTATCACGGGTCGAGTGGATCCTTCCCACCTGGGCTTTCGTGGAATTCCTGATGGCTTTGAAGTCGAAGGTGAAGTAGTATGCCCTGCAGGTCTTCAACCAGCCGGTTAGCATGTCTTCATTCAAGAAGAGGGTGAAGCACTTGAAGTAGAATCCACCAAGTGGGTGATTGAAGTTCATTCCCCAAAATGTTCGCTCGCTCCAATGCCCGCCATCTAAGCGATGTAGGTGATGTTGCCCCTACAGGTTCGCTGTTCCCAGATATCCGGGAAATGTCCCCAAATTTGCATCTGAGATTCTTGAGCACTCACCGGACCAAATGTGATATGTGGTCTCTCCGTTGACGGTCGAGTTCCCCTCGAAAGACATGCCAGGACTGGGAGCTTCCAGGACCATGTCGCGCAAAGGGACGGAGACATTCCGGAACTCCTCCGCGATCGTGGATCCCTTCGCGATCACGGAGTCTACGTCCCCCGCGAATGCAGCCTTCACGGACGGCTTCGGGCAGAAGGTGAAGGCTGGGGCTCGGGTCCCGGCGCCCTCGTTCATCGTGTACAGCGTGTTCGTCGGGAACGATGCATATTCTTCCACCTGGAGCGTCACCTGGGGGTAGGGGAAAACTTTTGTTGCTCTTTCTTTAGGATATATTATAGTTTAGAGGTAGTTCAAAACGGTAGTTGGAGGGTAAACATATCGTTTTCCCGAAGCAAATCTGTTCTACCTTGTCGCGACTGCGGGCATGCCATCTGGCAGGTGGTCAAGCAAGCAAGGTTTGCGCGACCGTAGCGAGATGTCGCTTATTTATGGGTTTCTATGCGTCATAACGCATAGAAACCAGTTATAGCTTAAAACCAGTCCCCAACACAGCCGTTCCACAACCGGAGCGGCCATGGTCTTGAGAGCCAACCCAGTCCAAGGGCCTTCAGGCTTGGAGGATGGAGGCAGGACCGTTCAACCTGCAACCTGACACCACGACGATGACGAAAGACAAAAGACCAATTCCGACCCGTAACTCGCGAGCGGAAAAAGAGCCACTGACAGAAATATCCCAGAGTTCTGTTATTGTGAAGGAAGTTGAGAACCCCCCCCCCCCCCCCC